GCCCGCGCGGCCCTTGGGGCCGTTACAGCCGTTGGGGCGCGCGGAGCCCGCGCCAGCCACCCGTGCCCCCGCCCACAATTGCCCCCTTTCCTTCCCTTGTGAACCAAAATCGCTGGTTTCATTAAACCTCATGTTTTTACCCGGTAGTTGTACAGTGAACAATACATAAGGGTCGTGTATGAAATCCATGATATCTTTATTAAAGAAGTGTGGTGCAAGGCCCAGACAAGGCACAGAGCTGTAGGGAGAGCTCTCCCAGGGTAGGTTAGTATGCTAAGGAGCAAACTGTCCCCCAAGATTTAAAGATTCTAACTGGCCAGAATTCCTCTAAGGTCTGAATTTAGGCTTCAGTCATTTGGGTGGATCCAGTGGTTATTGGCAGTGCCGGTGGGGCTGTGGTGCACAGGGCAAATGGGGGAAATCCTGGCCCCAGTGAAAACTGTAGTGTAATTTGAAGGGAAATAGATCTCACTGATTATAACTGTATACATCATGAGACAAAATAAGCATATTAGTAACAAATGTAATTTTAATACTGGGTACATGTTCAGTAAAACATAATTACAAGTATGTTTTTGAAGAAAGCTCTTTGTTAACATCACACACTAGCCTACCATGCAGTTAAACCGTTACAGTGCTGTTTTAGGGGCAATGCTAGATAACAGGTATTATCACAACTACAGTGAAGACACCACTACCAACTGCTCGCCCGTGTGCAGGTCACTAGGCAAAGAGAAGATCAATCCACCAGCTCCAAAACAATCTGCTGCAAAGTGGGGAACTGGTTTTGAACCTAAAGAGTAGCAATGAGTTTCTGTGGCCCCGTTCTGTGGAGATTTTAGCATCGTCTTGAATTCAAATTTGTGGACAAAATAATTGAGAAAAGGAGCCAATCCCAGGATTCTATCAGTTTTATGAACTTTGTTACATTTCTGTTTATTCTCACTGGAAATGTTGTTTTCCAGCACTTCATAGGCTATCAGTCTAATCTGGACCACACTGCCTTCTGTGCTGCTCTGCAGAGGCTTGCTTACTGTAAAGTATAATTAGCTTCATTTCATGTGATGATGAGCAATGGCAGTGCTCAGTTTACATATACAACAATTTGTCTGATCGCTCCTCATGCCCCTTTCTGGTTAATAACCAAATATTCTCTAAGCAACAAATAAAGTTCCAGTTAGGCATTCATCACATTTTTAGTTCGAAAATAATAATAAAAAATTATATTGGTAGGGCACAATATGTTCTGTTAAAATGTTGTCTAAAACACTGATAAAACTATTGACACCTATTACTTACTAAAACTAAAGGTAAACTAATGGCATATTAATAAGACATACAATTTAACAAATAATGTATCCCAATTTGACTTTTCTTAAATCAAGTAATTAATCTAATATTACAGAGAAAAATCAACGTATAGGATGCCAAGCACATCTTCAGAAGTTCATATAGACCACTTTGATACAGCAGCAGAGGCTGCAAAGGCAGCCAAAGCACTCAACAAACCAGGACTGGTGGGTTTTCCAGCAGAGCTCTGTAAGGGAACAATTTTTGATTCAAAATAATTCCATTCGTTACTATTATTAGGACATACACAGTTTCAGAGAAATCTTGTTAGCCTCGTAGACATTTTGTTAAGAGACCATGTGCCACACCTTATGCATGCGTAACCAACAGCTGTTCAAATGATAGGCAGGATCCAAACTATAAAGCCCTTATGTGGTCCTACTTTTCCTCATTTTTTTTTTTTCGAACTATTCCTGTTTATTATGTTGTACATGTATTCTCAAATATTTATGCAGATACATGTTTTTAGACAGATATCTCACTGCCTACTCAATACTTGGAGTTTTCTGTAATTTGTGTAGGAAGAAAACAGTAGAAAAAACAAAGAGAAAAAAGTACTTACCACTTGGCTGCCCCCTGTGGAAGATGGATTCTGCAAATAAACAAAAATATAAGTCTAGAAGTGCTCTCACACATGGTTTTGAACACATAGGTTTGCCTGCAATCAATACAGTTTTGATAGCCTAACCAAGAGAGTAGTTTTAGGATGTTTAATAACTTTTGTACAGATGAAGTAATAAGTTTTAGTTCTACATTGTTTATTCCATCTTACATCTGAAAAAAAAATTAGCTAAAATTGATGTAAGGACAAAGGTCTATGTTTTCCTCTCATTCTATTACCATATTTCACATTTCATTTCATATTTCATTTATAGTTGAAAGATGAGGTTAAAAATGAAAATAAACTGTACTGAAAATAAACAAAGGATAAAGAAATTTGCTAGTGAAAGACACAAAAACTTAACTTATCAAAAAAGTGAAGGATTAACTAAACGGAGCCTATACAAATCTACACAGGAAAAAGGAATTTGAAAATAGAGGACTGCAAAATGTAACAAGTCCTTTAAGAGATTCACACTTAAAATAAAGGCTTTTCTTTGTATGGTAGGAAGAGAAAATATTGAAACTGCTTCTCCAGACTGAGGCCAGATTTTCCCCAGCTGTTCCTTTAAATATGCTCTAATACAGAAGGAATCAATGCGCAATAGTCTCTTCAGACACAATCACCCATATGTTGCTCTCTTGACCATCCAAGTTCCTTGTTTACTAAGAAAGATTACAAGCAGTGATGAAAGTGTTCTTACCTGTTTACCAGAATACGTGTATCCGGAAGTAGAAGAACCCTGTAAAATAATTTTAAAACATTTTTGGTTTTTTTTGTAGGAGTATCCTAATGAATAACAGTTGACAAGAACACAGTACTCTTGAACACACCCTGCATATTGATAGTTCTGATACTGGCTTTCATTTTAACTTCATTTCTTGCACTTTTTTCCCCACCTACTTAAGTGAATGGTGTCAAATAACCTCAGCTGTGTCCTCTTTACTTCATTAACAATGCCAGAGGATTTTCAAAGCAAAATATCATTCTAACTGAATTATAATGTTTGAAACTGGAACAGCTTCTGATTACTTATCCCATCATCTTTAATAGAATGAACACCAATGACAAAGCAACCGAGTATCTCACAACCTTCTTATTAGGGGGAATCGTCATCCTCCTGTTTAGGCTTGAAGAGATATTCCATTTCAATATATTGGCCATTTTTCTGAGACATAAATCACTACAAAGTAAGTTAAAATTCTTCCCTCATTATTTTTACTTATTTTAAATAATAATATTCATGTTTCCAATGTGATTGTGAAATACTCAAAGGAAAATATTTTGAGGAATACCCTTACTGGTTTTCCTTGATTTCTGCCTCCTGAGGAAGATGAACCCTGAAAAAAAATTAATATCTTTCTTTGACTCTAAGCCTGTTTGTACTTAAATATATTCTTCTTGACTGGAATAAAGGACCACAGGAGAAGGAACACTATTTTGTGCCTAGTTACCTCAAAATCCTGGGGAAAAACTTATCTGGAAATAAGAATATTTACCATATTTTTTTAAACAGATGCTCTTTTGAATGATATATATTAGTCAAGGAGAATCTAATCAAAAGTTCTCAAGAAAAACAGCTCTTTTGTTGTAATAATGTCTCGTGGATATAAAAAGGAAAATATAGCAAGCTCCAGTTAAATATTAATTTGCTTGGAATTAGTCTGCATCTAGCTCTGAAAAAATGGGTAAGTTTTATAATACACAGTTCACAGTCCTACGTGAAGAAAGTTTTAACAAGGGAACTATAGGGGAAAAAAAGTGGATGCAGAAAAATTAAATATTCTACAGAAGTCTTCTTTTTTAAGCAAAACTATCCTTCCTATTTGAATGGTATTGCCAATAGAAAATCTTTGCAAGCAAAGGCTGTTTAAGAATGCCATCCAATATGTTACACAAACAGTCTCACTATTATGATTCAAGTGTATGACAATGTAACAATTTTTACTAGCTCTTTAATCAACAGGTGGATGAGATGCAGTTAAAATAGTTAGAAAGTGAACCCTGAATGCAAAGTGTGAGATTGCCATGGATTAAAACAGAAGTAACTATTCAGAAAAAAGTCACTTAAAAAAATAAAGCTCCCGTATTTTCTTCCATGATTACTAATCAGAGAATGTTGGGAAGTTCAGTTACCAAGCAAAATACTGACTCAAAACTATGCAACTGAATGAGAATAAATATCGTGTTCACATTTGCTGAGATTATCCCAGATGAGTAAATCATCTAACACTCATATATTTACCCTAAGTAACACGGCTCGTAGAAAATATCTGGCCCCTAATTAACTAGATTTTTTTTCAGGTTTACAAAGAGAAAAAAAAAAAAAAAAGGTCAGTATGGAAAGTTTTTACTTACTGGTTTACCATGTGATTGGCCTCCATAAGATGAGCCCTGTAAGAAGAAAATCAAGCACCTGTTACTTAAATGGAAGACATATTTATTGGGCCAGCAGATGCAAAGCACCTAAGTTCATTTTCACACCTAAATATATGTATATAAAGTGTCTTCTTTAAGTGTCTTATGGCTCTGTTGGAGACAAAAACAAAATCTCTATTTTATTTGTTATATTCTGCTAGCTGAAACATGCATTTTGGGAGTAACTTGTGTATTGTTTTGGTTCATTATTCCATATAATCTTTTGGGAAGAATGTTATTTGTTTTGAAGCATATGAAAACTGAGTTATTTAGATCCTTCTTTTCTCCATGATATAAGATTTACTCTGCTTAATAGAGTCATACTGCAACTCAAATGTTTGCCTATGAAGCAAAAAAAAAAAAAAAAAAGGTTTTTTTTTCAGTATAGCAGAGTGAGACATTAAGAAGAGTAATACTAATGAAAAGTATGTTCTCCCTCAGAGAACAGCTTTATTAAACAGCTATCAACTACATCTTTTAACTGTCTGGGCTGGTAAGGTTTCGCTACCAGTGACAAACCACTCAGTTTACAAAACAAGATGTTCTTAGAAAGGGTACATAAGGAGTTGGTTACATTAAAATATTGTTATTGCAATAGAAGATGAGAAAAGCAGTATTACTGTGGAAAAAACACCAAAATGTATATTTTCCAAACAATATCTGTCCATTCGTTTTACACCAAACTTCCAACAACTTAATCTAAAGTAACATAGACATGCCTTTCTATATATGGAATAATTTTAATTGAGAAATGACACAGAAAAGAAGATCTGACATAGTGTTAACATCATGTGAAACTGAAACACAAAAATGGCTGATTAAATTTTCACTTGAGCTAAGAAGCATTCTAAAGTATAACAATGGAAAATGTGATCTATGCAGTTTCTTTAAATGAAGTTTTTTGATGCTATTCCATTTCAGTTATTCAGAAATACCTACCACTTGCAGGTATTTTTTGAAAGTAAAATGACTTTTTGAAAAAAATGATTGTTACTAATCCCACTCCATCACGTTTTTCATTTACTAAATTGCATGTAGGAAGAAGAGTTTAAAAATGAAGAGCTGTTTACCTGTCCACCATACTGCCTGCTTCCAGAATAAGATGAACCCTGTAAAATGAATGTAAAACCATAACTTTAATAAATCCTTTTTTAAGTACTCACTAGCACCAAAGAAAGGGACTTAATCTGAAGATCATTCATGATATCAGTTAGACTTCCTTCTTAGAGGAAGACTCTTATATAGTTATTAATGCAAAAGAAAACGGTAACTTATTAGAAGACCACATCAGCGATTTATGCAATAAGATGAATCCTGCAAACTTTTCTTATATGTTATTTTGAGTTAAGCAAACTTACAAAAGTACAAAGTAAAGTCTTGTGTCTAGTGATTTCAACAGATATTTTTATTAAAAGATGTCTGAAATGTGAAGAGACTGATTCAATAAAAAACAAATACACTCTGTATAGAACTCTGTCTAAACTCAATATTTAATTATTTTTTGTGAATATGGCAACTGAACCAAGTTCATCCCAGAGAAAATAATCTGAATCTGAACGAGAAATGTTGAAGAAATACTGCTTACCTGACCACCATAGTAGGTATTTCCTCCAGTAGAGCCCTGCATTAAACAAGAAATAGGAATAGTTACTTTTTATAAAATTCAGTCATATGTAGAGAACAAACATAAAAACAACATACTGACTTACTGCACTGATCAGACAATTTGCATTGATTACTGATATACTTTTATATTTGGTAGATTAATCAATAAAGGACTTGGTTTCTATTGGAAAGATAACTTACCTAATAATTCATAAGTGGTAATCTATGTGCTGTTTCCAGTACTTATGATGCTCAGTGCTACATTAATGGCATGCATTTTTTGCTTGATTGCATAATCCTAGAGAAGTCACCTAAGCAATTATGGCTATCCTGAGAGAACAGTTAACTGAACCCTCCTTAAAAGTAAATTAGGCTCAAAATTTTCCATTTCAGCACAATATGAAACAACTTTTGTTATGTATATAATTGCACAGAAGAAATTAATGCAATGTAGTTGCTTGAGAATTTTCCAATTACACATCCTATGAAAAATAAACAGTAGGCAAAGAATACTTACTGGACTTCCACCAGGACACAGACATCCACCCTGTATAACACAAAAACAAACTAATTTTCTAGAAAGTGCATGGCTGGAAAAGGTGTTTGGATTAGCAAATCAAACTCAAACTTTGATATTGCAAGAAAACAGACTACAGAATCTTGCTCATAAACTCCATCTAGAGAGTAGTTGTCCCTTCACCCTCCTTCCAGGGTAGGTATGCAATTACTGATCTAATATTTAAATATGGTCTAATTATTCCCTTCAATTTATAGTAAAAACACTACACACATAAATGATGTAAAAAGTTCTGAGTAGTACTATATAACATATTTCTTTGTTTTTTTTTTCTTTTTTCTTTTTTAAGGGAGTCAGAGTACCTGGGTAACATGCAACATTCCAGCAATTTTCAGATGTTAGGGAAAACACTAAAGATGACCCCCCAGTGGAGGACTACCAGGTGATTTCTACTCTGAGGTAACTAACTGAGAGGTGGCCAGCAGGTTTTGTGAACAGTTTTTGTGAAGGAAAAATACTCAAGGTGAATTTTGAGTGACTGAGATTTGCAGCAACTGAATGCTGTGGAAAAGAAAGGCATACCTGTCCACCAGAGTGGCTGCCTCCTGAAGAAAAGCCCTGTAAAAAAAAATTAAAAACTGTTGAGGCCACATCTGTATTGTGTCCAGTTCTGGGCTCCACAGTACAAGAGGGATGTGGAGCTGCTGGAGAGAGTCCAGCGCAGGGCCACAAGGATGATCAGGGGCCTGGAACATCTGCCCTATGAGGAGAGACTGAGGGAGCTGGGCCTGTTCAGCTGGAGAAGAGAAGGCTGAGAGGGGATCTAATCAGTGCCTATCAGTACCTCAAGGGAGGCAGTGAGCAGGATGGTGCTGGCCTCTTTTCAGTGGTGGCCACCAACAGAACTAGAGGTAATGGCCACAAACTGAAGGACCAAAAGTTCCACAGGAACTTAAGGAAAATGTTTTTTACAGTGAGGGTGACAGAGCACTGGAACAGGCTGCCCAGAGAGGTTGTGGAGTCTCCGTCTCTGGAGATCTTCAAAACCCGCTTGGACGCAGTCCTGTGCCACGTGCTCTAGGTGACCCTGCGTGTGCAGGGGGGTTGGACTAGATGATCTCTAGAGGTCCCTTCCAACCATAAGCATTCTATGATACTATGATTCTATGAATGCAGGCAGCGGTTTAACCTAACCATCAGCAGTATTAAACCTTCCTGCAACATCAGAAAACAGTCAACACTGACTTCTAAACCTGAAGCCATCAGCACTCCAGGCCAGTCCTTTCTGAATAATAAGGATAATAAGGAGACGACAGTCTCTGTTGTCCTTGATATTTTCACTTGCTTCTGTTTAACATAATGTGCTAAAATGTGCTTCTTGGATCAAGGGCCAGGATAAGGATTTCCGACACAGGCCCCTGTAGCACTCACATAGCATGATCTGACACATCAGACTGATGCGTATTTACTGACTTTCATGTAATTCTGCTTTAAACTATTATTTCACAGAATGTTCTTTTGCAAAAAGTACAGAAGAGTCAGTTTGCTTGAAGTACTCTGTACTAAAACTGCAAATACTATGAAAGGAAAGATTTTACCTGTCCACTATACTGGTTGCTTCCTGTAGAAGCTATACCCTAAAAATTGAGAAAGCATTTATTTTCGTTGCTGGAAAACACACTTTTCTTTGTCTTCCGTGGATTTAAATGCCACATGAATGTTAATGCTTCATTTGTCACCATTTTAAATTCTAGTGGCCTTTAAAGTGGCTACTGTTTATATAGAACAGTGAAGTTCAAATCACTGGCAGCTTCAGGTAGGTGTGAATGCAGTGCAGCTGCACTGGATTCATTGCTCACAGCAGGCACGTATATTTTACTTTTGCTTGTGCTCTGATACAATTGTCTTTTATTCATTCATCTATTCTGACTTCGAGCAACTCCTTTATGAAATACACTATTTAGCATAAAATAGAAAAGAGAGGTGAACCACAAAATTAAACTCCATAAATGAAAATAGTTCTCACCTGTCCTCCGTAAGGGCTGCCACCTGAGAAATACGGACCCTGAAACAAAGATATCAATTAGTTCTGTACCAAAGAGGAGAACTTACTGTCAAGAGTTAAGAGACTGTGACAGTAGCAGAAATGCAAATGGGCCCAGATTTAGCTGTACAAATGGAAAAACAAAAGATAGAACTGTATTTACTGTGATACAAAAGAGGTACTGGCTATTGTTTTGTACTGCTTCACCTCATAGAACATGATACAGGTATTAAATAGAAATATTATTTTTTGCAGTCAACATAAAAGTACTAAGATTTTATATAAAAAATGTGTGTTGAATGAAGATTACATGGCAAGAGATTCTCACCTGTCCACCATACTGGTTGCCTCCTGAGAAGTGTGAACCCTGAAGAAAAAGAATTAAATATTTTCTATATTCATTTAATAAGAATTCTTAAGCAATGGTCCATTTGAAGGATATCTACTTTCTTTCAGTGCAAAACTATGAGTGGACAGGACCAGAATGTGCAAAAAGGCATGGGAGTCTCGTTTACATTTACCATGATGCATCAGAAGTTATATCTCCTAAAAATTCTCCTGTTGTTTCGTGTCACATGCATTTATAATTACTATATATCTTGTAGCAAATAAAATAGAAAAACAAGTAAAATCAGTCTACTTAAAATATTCTTTTACATGGAGAACCATTACATCTCTCAGATGAAATTCCTAACCCAGCACAAGAGAATTCTCACCTGCCCACCATGCTGGCTTCCTCCTGAAGGTGAACCCTGAATAACAACAAAAAATAAATAAAATCTCCTTTACATCTGTTTCATGGGCTTTAAAAAATGTTGATCAATATAATGGAGACATGCACTTCATATTGTATTTCTTACTAGTTTTAAAACAGCTTCAGACAAGAACTGGGTTTCTTTGAACATGGCAGCAGCATAATGCCATACGGAATATCTACTGAGAAGATCCGAGTTTAAGGTATTAAGGTAGGCAGCTGGATAGACGCAAGTTATAAATAGGGCTAAATTATAAAAGCAGGGATTGTTAATGCTTACTTGTCCACCGTGACTGCTGCCTCCATAAGATGATGATCCCTGGAAAGATATTGAAAATCAGATATTTCTGTTTCATTATGTGTCTTTAATTTATAGATATGAGAGAAAAAAAATCTGTTTTTTTTATCATTTTGTTTGTAAAGTTTGAAGAATAAACTGTATTTTTGTCTTTCTTGAATGCTATAACAGGAAATGGATAAATATAAATTTTCTTGAAATACTGAGGTAGCTAGCTGGATAATCCTTTACTTGATAGCACTCAAATACTGATAAAACAAGGATATCATATACAAATATTAAAAGTAATTGCTTACACGGTCTCCATACTGGCTAGCTCCAGAGGAATAGGAACCCTGGAAAAGACATCAAAGAAAGTGAATTCTCTTCCTTTCTCCTTCGCATTCTGAAATTTTCTTTTAGAGATTAAGAAAAAAATAATTTATGCACTAACTAGATCATGCCCCTGTGCCTATCAGACGTGCTCATCTGATATTTCTTTTTTTTCTTTTTTTAAGAAAACCACATATACATTGATTAAATGTACATTGACATCAATATCACTTCATCCTGAAAATGATATAGAATAAAACAAGGCAGTATTCACCTTAAACTTTTTTTTTTTCACCAAGCCAAACAGCACGGCTTCAAAATGTCCCGAACTTTTATCGGGACATATTTGTTTTCTATGTTTTACATTTTTCTCTCCTTTTTTCTTTTTAATGACACACATCCTCTATTTCTGGTGAACCACCATGCGGTGTTGTTAATGATGTTACTGAGCATGGCCCACACCCCTTCCCTGTCACCACGCTTGCAGTGGTGAGTTTGACATTCAAAAACAAACTGCAGCATCATTTGGGACTTAGGCTAATCCTGAGACAGCTTAACCCTGCTCTCTTTCCCATTGTGCCTTAGCTTGAGCACTTTCTGTCCCGCAGTCGAATCTGCCACAGCAACAGGACATGATATAATTCAGGTGGCTGGCAGCTACCAGTCCTAGCAGTGCTTGGACAGACACCCAGAACACACATGAAGGAGTGCTTACCGCTCCGCCCTGCTGGCCACCAGATGATGAGGAGGAATCCTGTAAAATATTAGAACCCAGCTATTTCAGTAAAGATTTCTGTTTCCTTGTTGCGAAGGTTTAAGACATAGGCTGTAGGATGAGCAGTATTTTTTCAAGTTCTCTGCTTGTTTCTGGAGAGACATTTCTTTATATAGAAAGATACATACTGGGCCAAAGCTAGCAAGAAAGGGCTGGTTACCAAATTGGTCTCTGAAACCAGACCAGGTGATCTCATACAACAAGAGGTCTCTTCAAAGAGGGGTGATTTAAGTTGTTTTTCTTCTTAATGGAAAAAAAATGGGAATCAAAAACATTGCATTTCTATTGTTTCCCTTATTTCTAGAGTAAGCTTCATTGTATAAATATTGCAAAAAATAATGGCAACTAACTAGTGACTAAGAGAGCCATCGCATACCATTTTAAGGATGTTATAAACTCAGCGGAAAATTGATAAAGTTTCTGCTCTTTATCCAAAGTTTCCATATCAAAACAACAGTTTAATTGAGTTTGTAGATAACCGTAATTTTTTAAAGTGGCCAGCTGGCTCTCCCTTTGGAATGACTTACGTGACTATTGTACTGGCTGCCTCCAGAAGATGTAGTACCCTGGAAAAAATTACAAATCAGTTATTTTTCTTTAATACAACATCATTAAATCAAGACTTTTTGAAGGACAATAGTACATACACTTTTATTTTTATTTTAAATTTTTCTGCTTGAGGTTAACCTCCACTCAAAATTTAAAGTCTAACCTTCCCTATTTTGCTAATCACCTAAAAATTATTGTGTATTGTGTATAATGTAAAAATTATTGTCCATCAAATGGCTCTCTGCAGAGCCCATCATCAAAAATGACAAACCAGTTGTTTCACTTCAAAGGATCTGAAGGAAGGAAGCTTGCTTCTTTCAGTTTAAAATCAGTGAGCTCCCTGAAGAAAAGACATAAGCTGCAAAAAACTTGGAACATGTATTCTTCATATTGCTTCTAATTTTTGGAGTTCTGCTGGAACTGATTACCAATCAAGGTAAGATTTATATTTGCATAATTTGTGCTAAAGAACATTCTTCATTCAAAGACTTTTCTTTGAACGACTACTGTTTTAGATGGAAAGAGGATCGAACTGCACAAATGTCCTGTATGTATTTTGATTTGTAACTAGGGTAAGTTATTGTCATGAATGTATGATTTCTATTAGATACTGACTTTTTTGTAACCTCAATAGCCACCATCATATTGACAAAACAAACACCAGGTACCCTGAAAATCTGATGAACGGTGCTTACATTTGCAGAGGAATTACTTCTGGTTAAGGTAGAGGATCCACCCTGTAAAATAATAATAAAAATAAAAAGGAATAATAAAACAGCTTCTGTTGTATATCATAAACTAAAATCAAAATGAAACCTTAAAACAGCTCTTCTATGGGATTTTCAAGGAAAAACATCACATTCTGAACTTATCTTACACTTCATTTACTTTACTTAACTTCCCAAGATGATCAAAAGGCTTTTTTGATCTGTAAATCACAGACTGTAAATCACAAAGAACCATTTTGCATCCGCTCATGCCTGATTGTGTAGGAAATAATAACACCACCCGAAGTTCAGGAACCTCCTTTGCCTATTACGGGTTGACTGACCAAATACTATTTGCTTTAGAAAGCATTTATTACCCTATTTCATGATCCCTAAATAATATCATATGAAATTTTCTTAAAAGTACCAATGAGAACTGGCTCTGATCGACTTTTTTTTTTTTTTCATTTAGTAAAGACTGGTTTCTGAAACAACTTGTTATGGTTGGCAGCTTTGTAGAGTTAATACTTCACTTTCCCTCTGTGATAGTTTTTTTTTTTTTTTTTTTCTACAGTTAACCCTGCTATTTATTGCAATTATAGAGTTTTCTGTTCTAGAGCAACAAGAAATTACTGCTTTTCTGTAGCTTTTCTTTGGAGATGAGATTATATGACAACTGAAAATCGCTTTTCAGTAAATGTATGTTGCTGCAACTGTGGGGGCACTGAACTCCTAATTATGACATAACAAGAAATAATTTCTATCCTGTCAGCAACATTTATGCCAGCAAAGGAACACCGAACATAAAACCTACAATACATTCAAATAAACAAATAATGTAATGTAGAAGCAAATAGATTTGCAGCTAATTTTCCATTTGCATATATAAAAATATAATGAACAAAGAAAACGTACAGAGCTTGCCCCGGAACAATCACATCCACTCTGTAAAGAACATAGAAAATGTGTAAAATCTCAAGAACATAGCACTGAAAAGGACTCATAACAAATTGAATTCTTTTTTCTACCATCTAGGTATCCAAGACATAGAATTACATTCATAACTCTCCTTCTGCAGTTTTTGTTTTTTGTTCTTATCCCCTGTAACTACTACTGCTCTTACCACTTCGATGGTGTAAAATCTCCTAATATTATCTTCAAATCTCTTACCTATAAACTTTATCTAGAAAACCCTGCTCACCAATACAGCATAAGAAATTCTGAGTAGTACTACAGAGCATACATATATTTTTTTTTAAGCAGCCAGAGCACGTGGGTTACATGCCACATTCCAGCAATTTCCAGATGTCATGGAAAACACTAAAGATGACTCCCAGTGAAGGACTACCAGGCGATTTCTACCTAACTGAGAGGTGGCCAGCAGGTTTTCACATTCAGTCTGCATGGGATTGCTATGAGTCCTTGGGGATGGGGAGATGAGATAGGATGAGATGGGGATGGAATGGGTATTTAGCACCAGGACAAGTGCAGAAGCTCAAATACAATGCAGACAGACTGCTACTCTGGCCACAGCGATCTCTGGATGACGCAGAAAAAAGAAAACAATGCACTACTGAGACTTTGGTCAAAGAGGACAGTGGTGAAGGAAAACAGGTTTTGTGATGGAAAAATATTCAACATAAATTGTGACTGAGATTTGCAATAACTGAAGTCTGTGGAAAAGCATACCTGTCCACCAGATTGGCTGCCTCCTGAAGAAGATGAACCCTGCAAAAAGTTACGCTTTCATTTAATAGATCTTTAACTTTGATGTATCTTTTACTAGTTTATTTATGTCTGAAAATATCAATCTGATAAGAACCCTATGTTATCTACAGAAAGTTTAATGAAGATTTATAAAAATACGGTAGTCTGGAAACATTAGAAATAATATGGTAACTATGAAGAAAAATTTCCTACCTGCCCACCATATTGGCTACTTCCTGACAGACCTGAGTTCTGAAAAAAATTGAAAGATAATTAACTTCTGTTTCAAAAATACTATTTATATCAAATATTTATTACTTGCATTTGAGTATATGTGCTTACATGTCCACCTGATTGACTGCCTCCTGGTGAATAAAAATCCTGTAAAAAAATATATGGGAAGTACATGAAAAAATGAAAATAGGCCTTCTGTTGTAGTGTGGAAATATTATGATGTAAGCTGAACACTCCCTTCTGCCTCTCCATATTACTCAATTTTCTGTCATGGATTGTTTGAAACCAACAAATAACTTTCTGCATAAATCACCACATGGCATGTATGCCTGTCAACAAACGCTCATTTAATGAAAGGTATTCTCTTGGATAGAATGATTAAAGAATTCTTTTTTTTTACCCATTCTTTTTCCTTTTTTTTCTCCATTAGAATAAATAAGATGGGGTAAAAATGACAGGAAAATGGATGCCCTTCAATGATTAAAGAATTCTTTTTTTTTCCCATTCTTTTTCCTTTTTTTCCCCATTAAAATAAATAAGATGGGTTAAAAATGACAGGAAAATGGATGCCCTTGCAAGTAATACAAGTGCAACAAAGTAAAGGGTTTCAGTCAGAGTAAATGTGGGTGCAACACAGCATTGGAAGACTTCTGCATTAATACAGTGAGTCTAAAGGCTGAAACATGAACAAGTAAATCATGGCACCATGCCTACAAATGT